TGAGATATTGTTATGGGCTCTAGGCCTCCAGGTGGACTTGTGTGAGGCACTGTTATGAGCTCTAGATCTTCAGCTGGACTCATGCAGGACATTTCCATAGGATCCAGGCTCTTGGCTAGTTCTCTTGGTCTTAGTATGTGGACAGATTTCCTGCACTCTTTTGTATATCATTCTTTGAGTGACTGTTATAAATAATCATATAAAATATCTGCCCTGGATTATACTGTGTTCCCTTGCAAAAATAATTCCCAAACCATGATACACTTCTGATCATTGTAGGCATCCATGCTGCTGAGCAATTGAGAACATTCTTCTAGCCTTACTTATTTTATAACATCCTTTCATATTTCCCTTAGCATGTTGGATTTAGCCTTTGGAACCCAAAAACTAACTTGATGACTTTTAGGTAGGTGTATAGAGGTAGAACTTATACTACATGATTTTTAAAGTAATCTAATGTCAGTATCTGTATGCAGTTTAGCAAACAATCTAACAATCTAGAAAACCAAACCAAACCTTCAAGCCTAAAGTTGATGACTTCAAGATTTAAGAGATGATCTGGTCATCATGCCATTTTGAAGTTCTTTTAATAAGTACAATTATTAGAGGGAAGCTTGGGGGAACTTCACAACATATTCATTAGCCATCAAGAAAACATGAAAAAATGTATGAGACTGAGGTGTACACATTTACAAATGGAAGGAGAACTAGACAAAGTGGTATATGACAATAGTTTTGTGATCTAGAAGTGCAATCTCAAAATGTAAAGTTTTAGACAGTGCAATAAGCCCCACTGTACATGATGCCAATTCCTGGGGGATGACAGGAGTATGTGATTGGGAAACTGGCCAGAGAAGAGCAAAATCTAACTAGATATGGTCACATGCTACAGGAAGTAGGTGGGTATAATAGTTCTCTTGTGCATGAGTCTGTCTGAGACCATGTTCTTGGGGTTCCCTGGGTAACAGAATACTTCTCAGACTTTAATATCTGCAATTAGTTTAACTCTTTAGGCATTATCAAGAAAGTCTACATCTATCTTATAAGATTACTATCACCAAAATAAAGATTTCTCCTTGCTTATTTACTGGTAAAGACAAGGGTGGTTCATTTTAATTTGTTTCTGGAATCCTTGAGCACTTTCTCTTAAAGTTCTTGTTGTCCCTATTCTTTGAAGCCAGTGCCCTTCAAAGACTAGACTTTAGGCAACAAACAAAGAATTCTGTAATATCCTAGTAGATTATGACCACAAATAACGTAGATTTGTTTCATTTGATCTTCTCTTTTTATGTCTCTGGCCTTGATTCTGTGAGTCAAAGTAAACATAAATTCATAAGGTTGCTTGCAGTAGATTTTGAGTCAAATTACATCACATAACATATTTTTAAAAATATAATTTTATTTTTAATTTACACATAGTAATTGTACACATTTATGGGGTAGGATGAAACATTTTTTAATATATGAGTATAATGTATAATAATCAGATTGGAGCAATTGGCATATTTTCCACTTCAGATATAAATCATGTCTTTGTGTTAGGAACATTAAAAAATATTCCTCACTAGCTATTTTGGCAATTTTGGTTAATTTCTGTCAGCCATGATTACTGTTCTATACTGTGGAACATTAGATGTTATTCTTCCTACTGAACTGTACCTCTTCACCTGTTAACAATTCTCTGTCCATCCTTATCCTCTTCATATCCTTCCCAGGCTCTGGTAACTACTATTCTATTCTTTAATTCTTCGAGATTAATTTTTTTAACCTCCACATATGAGACTGTGCAATACTTGTCTTTCTGTACCCAACTTACTTCACTTAACATAATGTCTTCCAGTTCCACCAAGTTGCTGTAAATCATAAAGTTCAATCATTTTTATAACTGAGTAATATCCCATTGCATAAAAATACTACATTTTCTTTATCCACCCATTCTTGGGTGCAGATTTAAATTGATTCTACATCTTGGCTTTTGTGAGCAATGCTGTAATAAATATCTAAGTGCAGATGTCTCAAAACATACTGACTGTGAGTCTCTAGAACATGTAACATGTACCTGCATCTTATTGTACTTCTATTTATAACTTATTTTTGAGCAACCTTCACATGATTTTCACAATGACTTTTAATTTACCTTCTCACTATGTAGAAGAATTCACCCTTCCTTTCCATTTTGTCTCTTTTGATAATTTGTCTCTTTTGATAATTTGTCTCTTTGATAATTTGTCTCTCAATATTTTGTCTCTTTTAATAATTGCCATTCAAAGTGGGGTAAGAAGATAGTACAGTGATATTACAGTTTTGCTTTGCATTTCCTTTATGATTAGTTATTTTCAGTCTTTTGGTAAGCTTAACTGGCCATCTGAAAGTATAGTGACATGCAAAGAAAGTGCTATGTCCTCTTTAGCTAAATGTCTGTCAAGTTCAATTGCCAATTTTTAATTGAACTTTTTATTTATTTATTGCTGCTATTGAAGTTTGAGGTTTCTTATATTTCAGAAATGTATCCTTTATTATATGAATAGTTTGGAAATACTTTCTCCCATTCCATAGGTTGCTTCTTCTCTCTGTTGAGTATTGCCTTTGTTATACAGTACAGTTTTATATAGTAATTCTATTTTTCAGTTTTGGCCTGTGTTGTCTGTGCTACTGGGATTATGTCTAAAAGATCTTTGAGAAGACTAAAGTCCTGAAACACTTCCCCTATATTTTCTTCTATTAGTTTTATAATTCTGGGCCTTAGTCTTTGATTCATTTTGGTTTTTGTGTATGGTGAATATAGGGGGTCTAGTTGTTTTCTCTATATTCTTTCTTGATCTGGTGGAGTCATATGGCCTGAGTATGTCCCTGAAAATTCATATGTCCAAACTTAATCTCCAATGTGTTAGTATTAATTGGTGGGCATTTAGAAGGTGATCTAGGCAATGACAGAGTCCTTATGAGTGGAATTAATGACCTTATATAAGGATTCAAAAAACCTAGCTGGACATTGCTATCCATTTTCCATGTGAGAACACAGCATTCATCCCCTCTGGGGAACTCAGCAACAAGGTGCCATCTTGTAAACAAAGACTAGGCCTTCCCCCAACACTAAACCTGCTGATGACAACTTACCATGGACTTCTTAATCTCCAGAAGTATGAGGAATAAACTTATATTGCTTATGAATTACCTAATCACAAGTATTTTCTTATAAGACCGAGAATAGACAAAGATATGAAGATACTATCTTTCCAAGGCACACATTGCCACTTCAGTTATGGTGTTGAAAGCCACTCTTAAGACCCATGGTCATTTAGGTCTCCTGTCTCACAATACAACTGTGACTGCTATGTCTGCAGGAAAGCTGCCCTTAAACATGACAACTTATTATGGTCCTGGAGTTTCACCAGGACATCACTTTTGTTCCCAAATTAAAGACCCTTCCTTATCCCTAAACTAACTACAGTATCACTCTAATGTAGGAGTCAATCAGGAATCTGAGTAAAAATTTACCATCTGATGCTAGGCTTATGGAGTTTTTTTAGTTTTACTAACCTGTTAACCATAACATCTCACTTAGCCTTCAGAGTCTCTTCTCAATAACTATTAGTGCACAGAGCATTGAATATTCTTCTAAGTATTCTACTACTCTAGCTTTCCTTTCATTTAGTTTATCTCTCCTGCCCTTTTTGATACAGTATGATTTGTGTTGGGGAATACTTTAAATACATACACACAAATGTAAATAGAGTATAATTTATCTGAGGAAATCTTTAAATATGTAAATATAAAATATATATGTTTCTGTGTGTGTACATATATATATATACACACATATATAAATGGTATAGATTTGTGCAGAGCACAAAATTCCATAGTTCTTTCATAAACATATATAAGATGTACAAAACTATAATCTACTCTCTGAGAAAGTGATTATTAGTCTATCACTTTAAGCCGAGAAGAATCAAAAGAATTAGTGGTTTGGGGAATATGGATGTTCACTCTCTCTGATTCCTGAGTTCTGAGTACATTTTACTTATAAGTAGGCAAGGATGTCTAATAGTAGTATGCTTCATTTCCTCTTTCTAAGTATGTTAACATATACTCCATACATCTATTTGCATTAGGCAAAGGCAGCTATGGGTTTGCTTTCTCTTTTGGTGTTTCCCATGCTAACAATTCCTTGATCAACTCTGGGTTATGAGGGATAAACTGGGCAATTTCCTTATTATGGGTAGATAAGATGCTATTGCTTGTGTCTAGAAGTCCCCTCAAAGCCTCATATGGTCATAGGTGTGGCTTTTTCAGAGGTGGCTTGTTATGGTTTATGTCTGTGTGTCCCCCCAAAGCCTCCTGCGGCCCTGGGACAGGCTATTAGAGTTTGAGTATGGGTGTGAGAGCTGCACCCACCGGGGAATGGATAGTTTGCATATGTAAGGGACAGGAAAAGAGTGCTTGGGCCATTCCTCCCCCATTCCACCCTGGTGTGTGGCTTGCTGTTTTGGCTGTATGCTGCGGTCCTGAGATGCAGCCCTCTGCCACGTGCCACTCTGCCTCATGATCTACCAAGTAAGGATTGCAACTTCCACGAACTGTAAGCGAAAGAAACCTTTCCTTCCTTAATTTTGGGCGTCAGGTATTTTGCCCCAGCAGCGAGAAAAAAGTAACCAAGACATGGCTGCATCTAAAGCGTATGACACTGGAATTGATTCATGGTGCAATGCTAGGATTAAGAGCACTAGGATTAAGGGTATAAGTGTTATCCACTCTAAGTAGCCTGGATAAGATGGAAGGGGTAGAAAGAGCTATAGTCGTCCCTTGTTGCTTTGCTGCCCTCTCTCCACAGTGAATTGTTTCTCCTCTGCAATGCCTGTCTGCAACACCAGCCTGTCTTGGAGCCAGCTGATTATGGTCTGAAACCTCTACAAACTATGAGTTAAATAAATCTTTCCTCCTTTAACTTGGAGTGTTGGGTATTTTGTCTCAGCAATGAGAGAAAAGTGACTAAGATATAGGAGTAAGATTTTTTGTTTAATGTTTTAAATGTACAGCTTTCCTGTCCAGAATCCAAAGCCCATAGTTATTTCACAGAATTATTTAGGATACACAAAAAATATAACCTACTAGCTTTTGCAATCTCAGCTTACCTACTATTTTAATATTTCTATAGTTCAGAAGAGAATTTTACAGAAGAGAACAACACATGCAAGGTGGTAGGTGAATAAGAGCATGGTGCATCTGAGAAAAATGAAGAGTTTACAGGGCTGCACGTACAAGAGTGCTTGAAGGTGCAAGGTATGAGCTACTGAGTAGGATGGGTCCCAGGCAGGGCAGCACTACACACTATGTACTGAATTTGTCTTATCCAGTGGACAGTCATAGTTCCTTACAATCTGGAGAGCTGGATCAGGTCCCAATTGATCTCACCAACCGACCTGCAGCCTAAAGGAACAACATATTTACAAAGCTAATTTTTCTCATTTTCTGGAATTGGCATGATGCCATGGGAGCAAGTGTTCCATCATAGTGCTGATCTGACCAATTGTTATCTGTTCAGAGTGGATAATGTGATTCTGATTTCACTGGAAATTATAAGTATTTTACAGTTCTAAGTCTATGTCATGTTTTAACAGTCACGTCAAAAGTCACGTAAAAATGCAAAATTTGATTTGAGGATTTAAAAATAATTGACTCATGTACAGTAGATATCCCTGATCTTCATCTCAAATCTGATAAGACACAGCGGCATAGAGAGGAATATACTCAAGAGACAGTGTAGGTGATGAAGTACCCCAATTTTTAAGGGAAAGTTCTGTCAAAGGAAGAGACCCTTCTTTAGTAGAAGATCATAATTAATATGCAGAATGATTCTGTAGCTGAGATTGCAACAGTGACTGAAGAGAGTTTCTTCAGACAAAAAGTGAAAATAGAAGGGAGTAAGGGGAGCTAGTAAGTGGGATGAGGCTGGGAAGTCATAGTCTTGAGTGGACAGTGAGAAGACAGTGATGAGCAGGCTGAAAGAATTTAATAATAGCCCCTTTTATATTGAAGTTCTTTCCATATCTATGGTGTATTTACCTTAGCCTCCCCAAACAAAATATTAGCAAAATGTATTGCTCACAAAAATATAGCTAATGAGAGGCTCTTTTTCTAAATATAGAAACATAGTAAAGGATTGAGTTTCTTGTCTAGATTGATTGATGTGGACAGAAAACAGCATGCATAGGATCTATATACAATCTGGTAATGGAAGTAATTTAGCAAAAACAGGAATTCAGAACCACACTGAGTCTCCCCAGAATTTACAATGAGCTAACAGAAAGCTCTGGGTAAAGGGTTAGCTGCAGGGGACAACTGCCGCTTCAGTTCTACAAAACTTCCTACTTTAAGCTCCAAATCAGGAAAACATTTACGAACTTACCTACAAGGGTCATAGAAGTGTGTAACTCAGTTTTTAAAATGTCCAAAACTTCTTCAACACCATGTTCACCCTGTTCCCGAGACAGAAAAGGTGGGGCACAAGAGCCTTGAGGAATGTTCTGACCATCTGTTGTGTACAAATACTAGATAAAGCCAAAGTTGTGGCAGGGAGGATGGGGAAAATCTGTGAAATTCGAATCAGCTTGGAAATAAAGGAAAGCGAAGAGAAATAGGTACGGATGAGAGCTACTAAAAGTTTGGGACATGCTTGAGAGAAAGCATGGAGATTTGGGTGAGTTATAGTTACTCTTCAGAATTCTTGAAAAAATGTCCAAATGAGAGGGAAAAGATTAGAAAAGCATGAAAATGAATGAAAGGCTCTACATCTTTCCATTGTTTCCTGCATGGCCATACTCACCTTGCAAGCAAGACCCCATAGGATTGGTCTCCCAAGAAAAATGCACTTAGCCCCAAGGGCCAGAGCTTTCAACACATCATTGCCAGTTCGAACCCCACCATCCATGTACACTTCAATTTTCCCTTTTACTGCAGTCACCACCTCCATCAAAGCATTGATCTGAAAGGAAGATAGATACACATGTGACTGCAAGGATTTCAGTTTTGACATTCAGGGGGCATGGGTTGGGTGCCCTCTCAAAGTAGTATAGGATTAGGAAATCCAAGCTGGGGTCATGTTTTTCACACTTCCTTTCCTTCTCCTGATTGATACTCCTGAAGCTTCTCAATGGTAGTTGGAGACATTCCTGAGGCCCAGGGACATTCGGTGGACTCTCCTTCCTGCTGTTTTCTGCTTCAACTCAAGACTACCTTCTCACTGCTTATTTAAATGTCTGCAGGGTAGAAGAGATGCTTGGTTCCTCTTCATATCTAAGAGGAACATTTTCCACTTATAGTGATTACTTCAACGTTAAAGAACATGTTGACCTTTGATTTTCTTCTACTGTATCTGTTTCTAGGGTGGCAAAGTTATAAATATACCATCGCTTAGGGACTAAATCTTCTATAGTAAAAGAAGTGTGATCCGCCAGGGCCTGAGTGTCTGGATGACATCCTGTCTTGGGAAACTTGCACACATCATTCCTCAAGTCACCATGTCTGACAAAGCGGCCTCTGACCCACTAATGGTTTATCTGATGAATAGAAGTAGGATGGGAGCAAAAACAAGGTAAAAGTTTAAGCTTTTGAAAGATAAAATACACACAAATTATTTCTCTGGCCTAGCTTCTCCACTGAATTTTCTAAGTTATTTGTTTCTTTAGTTCTATCACTAGTGCTAAACAGACCTTAAAGCTCTGTGACCACCAGGTCACACCTAGTCTCCTGGCCTCCAAATCTATGAGGAAGAACATAGTAGCCTGTTCCACCCCAGGGCGTAGCCTCTGGGAAGAGGACATTCTGAATTGCTTCACGGCTCTTGTCTGTGGTTCTTCTAAGGATGCCAGAAAAGAAGAGTTGAAATTGAACCCTAGAGGCTTTCTACTGTGTAAAAAAACAATCAGATTTCTACTAGAAAGAAAGCCTTGGGCTGAGACTACATAGGATAACAAACTAGGGAGAAAAGAACCTAGTGGGTTAATTTAGAAGTGGAAGGAAGAATTGAATATATTTCAGATTTACATTTAATAACTGAAGAAATTCATGTCCAAACATTATTTGAAATATTTCTACGATGTTGTGAAAAGAAATAAATGTATTTGTACAAACTTATCTAGCCAAACTAGACAATAAAGTTGGTAATAAATTCAAAAATAGAATACAGAGTGAATTTCAGCCTAGGATGCAGTATGAGTTTAGAGTTCATTTTTAATAGATTAGAGCAGCACATTCATTAGTCTTATGGGGACAAAACTGATTTACTCCATCTTTTGGTTCCAGGAGAAAACAATGACAATGTTAGATATGGAATTATATAGAAGATGCTATATAATTTTAGCTGGGTATGGGGGCACATGCCTGAAATCCCAGCACTTATGAGTCTAAGATAGGTAGATTGACATTAGTTGGAAGCCAGGCCGGGATACATGAGTTCAAAGCCACACTAAACTATATGGTGAGACCTTGTCTCTGAAAAACAAATAAATGATAATAAATTAAAAAGTTGTAAAAATGGGATTGTCACTTATAACGTTATAGTCATAATATGGCACCAACCTGAGAGAAGTGAGAGACTTACCACGGGTACAAAATCTAAGAAGTCATCAAAATTATCAGATAAATGATAAGTGAATGAAATACATTTTTTTTTTAAAAATCAAATGTCACATTTTAGCCTCTGAGATGAGAGTTTACTTGAACACACAAAAGCTTTACATGATCTAAGGCAAAGATTCAGGTGAGATGACAAGGTTCTCTAAGTGTAGGGTCAGATTCAGTCTTTACTTTAAAACTTAACATTTTTGCTCATCATGTATTTCTTTCCTGTTAATTTTCAATTTTTATTTTTTATTTTTAAATTTTAATTTTTTTTTGAGAGATGGTCTTCCCGTGTATTCCAGGGTGGGCTTGAACTCACTATGTAGCCCAAGCTGGCCTTGAACTTGTAGTGATCCTTCTGCCTCAACCTCCCAAGTGCTGAGATTATAGATGTGTGCCACCACACCTTTTCCAAAGTTTCAATACTTAAATAGTCTATCAAAACATTAATTATTTTACCAAGTTTTTGGGTACCTTCCTAAAGAGCTGTCCCTGGATGGCTTTGGGTTTAGATATTATGCCAAATGGCTGAAAATAACCTGCTGATGAGCATAATGGGGTAGGAGAAATTCTCTCTCTGGTTTGTGCCTTTCCCAAGGCTCATTTTCTACTGAGGAAGCACAATAGGAGAATTAGTCTGCCTCTTTGTCCCCTCATTATCTAGTCCTTCCAAAGAAGCAGGACTAGCTAACTTAATTAAAGAGAGCCTGAATCCTGTTGTAAATTGTCTATATTAGTTTGCTTTCAAAAGCTATCTTCTGCTCGGCTTGCTGTTCACTGAGGGTAGGATCTTCCTTGCTTTCCACTTCTATTCAATAGGCATGTTGGGGATGACTGCGGGTCTGCTGTGCTCTTTTGCATTCTCTGTTCCACCAATTACAGACTGTATGAGAAATGGGCTTGTGGGCATTGCTGCAGAAGTTGGGTGGGAGAGTTCAGCATGCCACAGGTTAAGAGGTGGGATGGGAAGAAGGAGGCCTGTCTCAGCCTTCAAACCAGCCCTGTGATCAGAGAGGGACAGTAAAGTGTACCCCTTGCCTTCCACATGGACCTACCATCTATTTAACTATTCTCTACCAGCAAGCCCTCCATGCAGAGAGGAGGCACCTAAAACCGCTAAGAATCATGTGTCTTAAAAAACATGGCAGTGGCTACTGATGCCTTTCTACTTTCTGAAATTCATCTTAAAGAAACAATTGAGAATGTGGTACAGATTATAGCTATAAGGATGTTCATGGGTGCATTTTTTTTCCAAAATAGTGAGAGTGGAAGCAATACAAATGTTAAACAATAGGAGATTGTTTATATAAATTGTCTATTATAGAGTATACCATTAAAAATAAAAGAAGCATATATACTGAAACAAAAGATGCTTCTAATACATTTTTAAATGAAAAGAAGTGCAAAATATTATGTATAATTTTAAAACTGAAATAGTTATATTTGCATCAAGAAACTGGTGATAAGAGGCACCTAAATATTGACATTAATAATGATGAAAATAGAAGTGATAGCTATTGATTTTTATGTATATTTTATAGTTTTATTTATATAATAAAAAAGCCAAAAGCAGAAGAAAAAATTCTCACTTCTCTTTCTTAAAATTAGTCAAGAAACAATAGAACAAACTTTTGAAAAGAAGTCATATCAACAACTAACTACCATGTAAAGATTCCTTTAAATCTTCCCTTCTCATTTTCTTCCCCCTAAACTCCATCTAAAATGAACATAACTAAACAAGTTAGGGAAGACAATGTAGGCTTAGATTCTAGTAAAGGATGCTGTAGGTTAGTTTTTTATTTTGAAAAATGGTTATTTATTAATTTAAGAGAGGCATTGCTCCTTCAGTCAAACATGAAAACATGTAGGTACGATCAATGTGAACATACAAGCTTAATATGAACACTTCTTCCAGAAGATGGAGGCCTCTGTCTGCTTTTGGGACATTATACCTGTCCTTCCTTAACATTATATGAACTTGGGAAAGTTACTATGACATTTCTAAACTTGAGAATCCCCATTTGAAAAATAGGTATGCACCTGTCTTGCAACACTGTCACAAGGCTTAAAGATGATGCATGCAAAATTTATAAAAATAGCTTGATGTACACTAGTCTATTATTAATAGTCAGTAGCCTTTAATATCTATGGGGGACACATGATAAGAAGAAAATGTGCATCAGGTTGCACAGAGTACCTTGATGTAGACACACAGCGCTCATAAACACACCCCTCTGAAGTCATCCTACTTACCGAAGCAGGAACCTCGTCAAGCTGTCTCCCACCATGGTTGGATACAATTATGCCTTGGACCTTGTGTTTCACTGCTAATTCTGCATCCTCTTTTGTCAGAATCCCTTTAAGGATGATAGGCAATTGAGTTATGCTCTGAAACCAGGAGAGATGATTCCAGCAGAAAGATGCGTTTATAAAAGAAGGCTGTTTGTCAGGTTTGAAATTTTTCTGTGGGGAATAAAACGATAACTGAGTCCTAAATTCCTATAAGACTGATTGACCTGTTCCAAAAGTGAGACATATTAGAAGGCTACCATTTATAAGCTTCAAAAGAGGAACAACAAAATACGACGATGTTTTCAGTTCCTTTCCCTAACAATTTTTTTTTTTTTTTTGGTTTTTCTCCGGTACCGGGAACCGAACTCACGACCTTGCACTTGCCAGGCAGGCGCTTTTGCCGCTGAGCTAAATCCCCAGCCCTCCCTAACAATTTTTATAGTGGAATTTCTACTGAAATTTCTTTTCCTTATATTTTCTTTCCTTTTTTTTCTCTTTTCTCTCTCTCTCTTTCTTTCTTTCCTCCTTTCTTTTCTGAGATCAAAACCCAAGGGTATTCTCTCACTGAGCTATATCCCCATCCCTTTTTATTTTTTTATTTTGAAATAGGGACTCACTAAGTTGCTCAGGTGGGACTTGAGCTTGTGATTCTCCTATCTCAGTGCTGAGATAACAGGTACCACCCCACCTTACTCTACTTCAATTTCTTAGTCATGTCTTTGCTCCATAATTATTCCAGCGTCTGGATACAGAAAAATAAGACAGAATCTCTACTTTAAAAGAATTCAAGTTTAGTATGTGAGATGAATTAGTAAAGTACTTAGAAGTCAGTTTGATATTGTCTTTGAGATATAGACTAATAAGACCAAAACAATACTTCAAGAATCCTAAATCAGTTATTACCCAGTACCTACCACTGACTTGCCATGTGTATCAAGTACCCTTCAATCTCCATGTGCCTCTGGAAACTGGGCTAAATATTCTAGAACACCTCGAGGCCATAATGGTTAAAGAAAACTGCTGAGTTTTTTGGTTGGATATCATAGCTGCCTATTGACTAAAATGTCTGTTATTACTATGCAATATAGCTAAGGAATTCCAACTTTACTGTAGCTTTTTCTCTCTGGAGAACTCTATCTTTTATAACTGTAAGATTTTCATAAAGGAGTGTCCTTTGTAGCCACTTAGTTCAAAGGTATCATTCAGGCATGATGCAGTATCTTGTTGCTCCAGGAATGAGTTCTAAGTATACAGTGACATCATCTCCTCAGTTTCCAAGGCAGCAAAGTGGAAGTCATTTGGGTAGACTGGCTGGACAGTCACTTTGCCTGTGAATATCCTCTTCAGAGCATCAATTTATCTACAAATGCCAACCAAAATTATCATTTTCTAAGTATGCCTTTAAGAGTAGAGAATGTTAGATGACATCTTTAGGTTACTTTTTTATTGTTGCGAAAATGCTTTGAAGGGCTTTCCCATCTCTGCTCATGCTGGGCAGCTCCATGGGTTAGAATATCTGGCATTATGTCCTGCTCATCTGGGAGCAGGAACCAGATCTGCCTTATAAACTGCTGTAGACCAGGTGTCTGGAACAGGACAGGGACTCAAAAATTGTTTGTGGAAAGGAAGACAAGAAGGAATGAGGAAAGAAGAACAGACATTTGCCATTAATAGCATCTGCCCATTGAATATGATATTGTTATTACCTCTTCTGATGATTGCAAACTCTTTAGCATTAAGTTCCTCTTCAAATCCAATTCGTTTCTAATGTCATTTCGCCTTTTGCCAACTATAGGTACATCCACAGTGATTACCAAAGCTTTGAAACCCAGAGATTCTGCCCTCTGGACTATCTGTTTGTTTAGCTCCCAGTCTGACTGTACATAGAGCTGGAACCATCGGAGGCCTCTTGGGGCAGAAGCAACGATGTCTTCAAGGGTACAGCTGGCATATGTGCTGGTGATGTAGCAGATGTTAGCTGCTTGAGCAGCTGCAAAACAAAGAGGCCATATTGGAGGACAGAGGCATTCTGGACTGGGGTGAGAAGCCTAAATTGTCTGTGCTGTCTGTCTCTAGCCAGTTTGTCTTATGAGTAAAGATACAATTTAGACTTTGTTATGCTTCTCTTTTAGGTCAAACATGGGAGATAGTTAGATCAGACTGAAAGGCCTAAAGCTGTTTGAGTACTCTTCTGAATGTAAACTGTCTTATAACCCCCACTACACACATCATTTAATCCTTGAAATCACATTGGGTGTATTAGAGCCTCCAGAAAAAGAAGTAGGCTTCTTATAATTTCTTAATGAAGTAGAAGGGAAACAGGTCAGGGAATGAGTAATGTAATTCCCCTGGAAAAGCTTGAACTTGGTAGTAGTGTCTGCAATTAGAAGGACGCCAGTTCTACCACTTTGTTTGTGACCTTGAGTTTCATTTCCTTTATCTGTAAAAATGAGAGAAATAAAACTATCTGATTTTGTTGGGTGATCCAATAAGATAACAGATATAGAAGCATTCTTTAGTTTGCAAAATGATATAGTGAATACATGATAATGATAAGAAAGTTGGTAATGATGATGATATTGATACCATTACTGCTGCTGAAATATGCATTTCTCATTTCCCATTCTCTTCATTTCAATGAGTTTTTTAAAAGCAGGTTAATGCCACTCCCATGCTATAAATCATGAGCAAACATATTTTGCTTCATCAGTAATTAATGTTGTTCATTCCTAATGTCAGCAGGAGAGACCTCTCCCTTTACGTTACCCCAAGCCAACACATTCAGTGATGACTAGGAGCTACTCACACATTTAAGATACCCATTTTTCAATCCACCCACTTTCAACTCTAGAATCCTTGGATCCATTACTTCCTGTATCATGGAGTCAGAAAAAAAGACCCCAGAGAAAAACAGATTTAGGCCAAAGTGAAGGTTATGGAATCCCCAGAATATATATTTTCAGTCCCATCTATTGTCATCATCATCACGGGTATTATTATTTTTATTATTATTGTTATTATTGATATTGGAAGAGGATATGTGATATAATGGAGGGTACTAGGAAGGAGATATAACACAAGAAACTTTTTTTGTCAAAAAGATGTCAAGATCAACTGGGGAGACAGGAAATAGAACATTTGGAGATGAGCAACTATTAGGACCTTGTGTAAGGACATAATGTCATTATTTGCTACTCACTTTAAACTCAGTGACTCACCGTTCATCTCCATCTCTGGCCTCTAAGAGGCCAAAAAGGGCCCTACCCGTATGGCCACCTTTAGGGTCTACCCAGGGACATCCTTTTCCTTACAGGTAGTGTGATTCAGCTAGGACAAATGCTCCTCTTTTGAAGGATGACTTGGCTGGCTTTTAGTACCCTACTTTACATAGTAACCCCTCTTCCACTCTACTTATTTGTTACTATGGATGATGAATACTTTCTCAGTCTTCAGTGAAATGTTAAGCAAATATAGCTTTAAGCATTTTTTTGCCACCTTCCTTAATTCCAATCAGACTGCTATCCCCAGGCACCTCTATGAGAAATCCTGGTATTCCCTGCCACTGCTCTGAGGGAAGCTTCCTGCACACGTCTAGCCTTCTAAGAAGGAAACCTGAAGATGAGATTGGTTTGTACCTCTGGCTGTGCTCATTTCCCCATCAGGCCAGGTCATGCAGTGGAAACATGTAGGTGCGATGCCAATTGGGGCACTGATCTCTTCCCCTTGGACTGTGGTCCTGGTGTCCACCTCTGACACACCTCTCAGGTACCGTGGGCGGAGGCAGATTCTGTGCTAGGCAGCAAGTGCAGATTCTGTTGGTGAGACAAGTCTACAGCATGACAGTGTTGCCTGGAGCTGGGACCTCTGAGGCCTGGTTCAGGACTAACCCAGACTGGATCCTGGCAAAATCTTGCTGGGTACAGTCCGCTGATCCTCAGTAAGCAGTTAAGGATCATCACAAGGCTCATCTCCAAAAAGCTACTCCCAACATCACACTGCATGTTAACCCAGCCCTTTCTGAACTGCTAGTGTCCCATTGCCCACACCAACTGCTTCCTTGCTTTTTCAGTTTCTGGGTCACTGAGCCCTGCCTCCCTGAGTAGCTTCTCAGTGCTTGAACAGCTTCATTGATTCTTCATAACAAAATTTGGAAAGGAAAAGAAGAGGTAGGAAGAAGTTCCAGGGTCTTTCCTTCCTCAGCCAGCAGCAAATCCTTAGAAAACAAAAAGGCCACTGAAGAGGACAAATACCAGAAAATGATCATAACTTTTTGGCAGGAGGCTAATTCATTTGACTATTTGACTTAAATATTGTACTGATTCAGCAAAAAAAGGAGAATTCACAAATAATAAATTTGTAAAACCCAATTTTAGGACAAACAGAGCCCTCCTATTCTGCTTTTTAAAAAGAAGTATTAGTTTCTGTGCATAAACTTAGGAAAATTTCCTGGAAATACTAATTGTGCAAACTTGAGCAAGTGTTTCTTTTATTTCATCTGTAAAATATGAGTAATAAACCAATTTTCTAAGTTTTATAAGGACAAACTGAAAGCAATCATTAAAAGTACTCAGTGTTTTTGACAATCAAGTATGAAAATACAGAACAGGCGGATGTTCAACTGTACTCCATTTTTTTTCAGTTTTCTTGACTCTATTACAGGGGACAGAAAACTCTTAAAATAAGGAGTAGACAGGAAGTACTCCAGGCTTTGTATGTTATAAAGTCTTTGTCACAATTATTCAGTTCAGTTTTCATAACACAAAAGCAACCACAGATAATAGTGAATTATTAAGCATGGCTGGGTTTCAATAAAACTTTATGGACTCTGAATGTTTATATATAGCCATATAACAATTCAGTCAAGAACAGACATGTATACAATGGTGGGACTGTATGGAAAAGGGGTCTATAATAATTAGGGACAGACAAGGACTCGGGTCCTGGGGAGAGAGAGGAAGTGGAGAGAACAGAAGTGGCTGAGGTTGCTTGAAATAACTAAAGTGTTAAATGTCACGAGGCCAGGTGGTTACTGCAGCACTCAGGCAGCCCACAGTGGTTAGGTGACACAGATCCCATCAAGACGTGCTAATTGTGCAAACTTAGCAAAAGCCTAAAGGCCAACAAGCCACCCCTCCCAAGACTGAGAGAGGGGCCGAAGCAGGCCACACAAACCCCAGTAGAAGCAACTAACAGTCCCCACCTTGGGAGCTTTCCAGCTCTGGAGCCCCCTTCTCTTTGGTGAAATCTTTATTGCTTCTTTGCAATAAAACTCACTTTCACTTGGCAACTTCCTTGGACTCTTTTCTTCTATTTCTATACTGGACTGAGAGTTCAGACCCAGAAACATAATAAGCTTGGTGGTCACACTCCAAAGGCAACAGCACTCTAAGATTATATATCCTATTAAAAGTTGTAGCTATTTTAGTTTTTAGAATTTATCATGTTTATACAATAATGAAATTCTCTAACAATGCAGTTCTCAGAATATATTCTGAGACACATGATTATTAAGTGACAGATGATTGTAAGCTTTGTATATCTTCTTCCTTTTTTTTGCCCCAACAATTTGAAAATGAAAAACTATTCTTAGCTTGTGATCTACACTAAAGCAGGTGGTGTTCCTTGCTTGGCTTGTAGCCATTCTTGGCTGATCCATAGTCTAGTCTCCTTTTGTTACAGCCAAGTCTTCCCCCTTGAATCAACCTTCCATCCCCTCTAGGTCTCCTGGGATCTTCATTATTTTCTGCAGACTGAAGCCTCCTTCCTGTCTTACGTGTTTTTCTTCTAAGACAAAAGGTTAGCAATTCTGGACATTTGGGCCTAAGAATCTGACATGTGTTTCTGGATCTTATTCTACATTTTGGGGTTGCATTATTGTGGAATACAGAAGGAGGTTGTGCTAGTTATAAAATAAATTTCCCTCTATAAACTCTCTCATCATCTCTCCAGTCTCTATTCTTCTTCTCCTAATACAAAGCAACAAAAAGACACATTTTTTAGTATTAGAGAATGAACCCAGGGTCTTTGCACTGAGCTACCTCCCCAGCCACTCCCTCAACTTTATATAGAGTCTCACTAGATTGTTAAGTTATCTTGGTTAGGCTCAAACTTCCAATTATCGTGCCTCAGCCTCCTAGAGGGTTGGCCTTATAGGAGAGCACCACCATACCTGACCAAAAGCCAAATTATTATATCTTGAGCATTCTACATTCCTTGGAGGCAGACACGAGGAATACTAACTGCATCATCTAAGGAACTCTCAACCAGTGCACCTTAGCTTAACAATAGAAAGGATTTAGAAGAGAAGACCTTTTGAATGCTGTGATGTTGTCATCCCGTGTGATTTCTTCATCAGCACCACCTTCAATAAAATCCCAAGTTGTCTTAGCTAACTTCTGTTGAGCAAGTATCTGAAAGTCTGTCAAACACACCAATGACATTTCTGGACCTGCAAAAGGCCAAAACAAACCAAATATAGTAAAAACACAGCCAACATAGAAGGCAAAAGAGGAAATCAGTGCAAAGTTCTTTGGATGCAGCATCCATCACTTTCCATTTCTTAACTTAACGAGTTGTAACTGACAGTGCAGAATGGAATGTTAAAGGTGATTTTTTTTCCTTTAGAGGTAAGCAACTTCTTCAAGCTTTCCCTTGCTGAGCACACAATCAATGCCTCTCCTCTCTTGAGCCCTGAGGAAGTGACAGAATATGCAGATGCCAGCCCCAGAAGGCCGGAGCCCACTCTCCTTTCCACAAGAAAGGGGAGAATAAGCTGCGGAGGCTAGAGGTAATAATGCAAGAGTGGAGATCGCCTTATCTCTCTGTGCTTTTGCTCTTCTCCATTTCTTACCATAAAAGACCTCTACTCGTACATGGTGAGATAGTGATTTGAGGCAAATGAGCCACTGCATCTCCTAGAGTTAGCTTGGAATAAATCCTTTTTATCAAAATAAGTGTCCTCCTTGGACTCAGTCAGTGGTGAATAAAAGAACACAAGCATAGGCTTGTGCTGTGAATTTAAGTGGCTGGAACAGAGTTACTGCTCAAAATCCTGACCCCCAAGCCAGAAGGCAGGCAATTATGCTCCCATAGTGCACTCTCCCATCTCCATTCCAAAGTCCTGATCAGTTGGTCTCCTAAATGCTCCTTGTGTCTGTCCTCCACCTTCTGTACACACTACTCAAGTCTAGTTGTGGTCCCACCATCCCTTAAGAATTATTGAAAAGTTTTTTATTTTTGTCTCTTGTTGCTACATCTGCTCTCCATCTTGTCTTCTCTCTGCTACCTAAAATCCAAGGAAGAAGTAAAAAATTTATTGTATAACTAGCATATCCTCCTTCTGTGTTCCACAATTTTGCAACCCCAAAACATAGGATAAGATCCAGAAAGACATGTCAGACTCTTAGGCCCAAATGTCCTGAATTGCTAACCTTTTGTCTTAGAGGAAAAACGTGTAAGACAGGAAGGAGGCTTCAGTCTGTAGAAAATAATGAAGATCCCAGGAGACCTAGAGGGGATGGAAGGTTGATTCAAGGGGGAAGACTTGGCTGTAACATAAGGAGAATAGACTATGGATGAGCCAACAATAGCCACAAGCCAAGTAAGGAGCCCACCTACTTTAGGGTCTTCTCACACCTCTTTTCTCCAGTGCCCATAGCATGGCTCTCACAGTTCCTTCTGAACTGCCTCACCAGCTTTATTTCTTGGCAGCTTTCCCATGCACTTATAATTCAAGTCACTACTTGGGACAATTGGGCTGAACTGAGATTGAGGGGGGTCTTAGGAACCTCCAGATGTCTAAATTTTGGAGGGCTATGGACAGTATAAGGGAGAGAGCCAAATCTTTGCTATACCTTTACTAGAACATTGAAAATATTGCTTAGTATTTCTAGGAGGGCAAAATATCACACCTAGCTCTTTGTAATGTTTGCTAATTTTGAGACCAAGAGTATACTGTATGTTGTTTCCATTTACTCTCATCCACGATCTGAACTCTGCAGACCTGGAGCTTGCTTTTCTGATACCATCATCCCAGAATAAGGAAAGAGGGAAGTTTTGGGCTGCCAGGAAATTTCCTCAACATGAGCAGAGGCTGTAGTGTCAGTTAGACAGAGCATACAGGATCCTTATGTGAGAGGATTCCAGATGGAGAGGCTGAGACACCATAAGTTCAAAACTCTAATAAACTCTCAGGCAGTAAGTAACTGTCAAAATTAGCCAAATATTGTGAGTAGAAACTGAGTGAAAACCAAAGGGCTTTGAAGCCATTGACTGAAGAAAAGGGACAAGTCTTAGGAACTAGAACCTTACCAGGATGAGGTTAGCTCCTTTAAGGGGCATGGGCCCATAGAGTCAAGTAGAATGTGGAAGCCAATATCTTAGCTGGAGTAGAGATGAGACACAGCTGACTTTAGAGCTTCTGGGGCCAAGCACCAATCTAGTGAGGTCAAACACTGAAGTAGCCTTGAGAATCACTTATGGGACTAAATGGAAAAACTTATGTGACAGAAAACACATCCCCTGGGATGCACTGATCTCAGATGGAATCCAGGAGGAGGAGGAATTTGGACGACAGCCACAGAGTTTTTCATAGGAAGCCTTTTCAGTGAAAGGGTAAGAAGCTGTTGAGGTGATGATTTGTATCTAATAGACTACAGCAGCCATATTTAATTTAACACATTTCTACCTAACCCTTTGAAAGGCCCATAAACCTTAGTCAAATGAATTAATGATTGCATTTGTCCATCTACATTGCAATTATTTATTATTCTGTGTACAAAAAAGAGTCAATATAGTAGGGCTGAAAGTGTTACTCTTGGAAAGATCTGATTGCATGGTTAGTCTTTGTCTAGTTTCTAGAAACACAGAGTTCTTACTATTCCCTGATAAGAGTGGTCCACTGTGTCTCAGAACTGTTGGTACAAACAATATGATTTATGCTGAACACATGCTTTCCTCCTTGGAGTCTAGTATTTTTGCACAGAGGGTAATTATATGAGTATCCTCCAATATAAAACTCCAGGCATTGAATCTCTAATAAGCTTCCCTGGTAGATAAATTTGTACATATTTTGTCATTTCCCAATGTTGAGGAACTGTTGAGGGACCTTGGAGAAATGAGCAACCATCTGCCACTATTACCTAACTTAATGGAGTTGCAACTCGCAGTGCAAAATGGAACTTTAAAAGTCAGATTTTGTACCTAATGAAGTACAGCAACCATATCTAATTCACAAGGACTTCACTGGAAGCAGAACCTTGGAAGAATACACTGCTTTCATCCAGACTGTGTGCCCCGTGAACTTTTCCCTTTGTGAATTTAGCTTTGTAGCATTTTACTGTCATAAATCCTAGCCTCAACTGTATGCTGAATGCCGTGAATCCTGCCAGTGAGGCATCAAACCAGACCCCAAACACACTTTTTAGCCCTAGGCTTTAGAGTTCTACATGACACTGAACTGCTGTTTCTAAATGCTCATTGAATTTAGCATTCCCCTGTATGTCACTTCTGCTTTATTGGATGAGAACTCTCCACCTTTTAACTCCTGATATCCTGCACATTGCACACGCACAGAAATAACTTTGCACATTTCTGTTATAGAAACTTGTATATAATCCTAGAGAAATGACTCACACTCACTTGAAATTATTTGTCTGGAGCATGAGTAATTTGAAAGCTGCCTGGGAATAAATTAGCATACTAATATACAGTATAGCCCTGGGAAGTCATGGTTCAGAGTTCCTGGCCTCAGTCATTCACAGACTTTTTTCTTACAATTTAACTAATAATTGTTCTTGGAAATCCTCACAATTTCAAGGAAATTGCAAATATTCTCCAAA